GATAAGTGGAAAGTTAAGCTGATGGAAGACAATCAGGCCACGATCACTATCCTGCAGCAGGGACACTCACAGAAGCTAAGGCACACGGATAGGACCCAACGCATTAGCTTTAGATGGCTCCAGGAGCAATTCGTGAATAGGCAGTTCGAACTAATCAATGTTGACACTACCCTCCAAGCTGCAGACATCTTGACCAAGGCGTTTGACAGCACCCCAGTGTGGCATCATGCACTTGAGCTGATCGGTATCTCCCCCAATCGCCAGGCGCGAGCCTGTGCCACCAGTTTGCTGCTCCCTCCATGCGCCAAGGCCGGAGAAGTTAGTGATCAGGGGGGGCAGATCGCTGCGTTATGCAACGTTCAGCCCAAGCGCCTCCTTATTGAATTCTGTTGTTCGACGACCTCACGGTTGGGCGAATCAAGAGACTCTTCAAAAGGTTGCCGTGTCATTCGGGTAACTGAAACCGAAGACGGGTGCTCCGATACGTGCAGGCAGTGGTTAGGCCGTGAAATCGCCGAATTCAGGAGCAAGAATCCTAAGGGTGCAATCATGTTCTATGTTTCGTTGCCATGCACTGGAGGTTGCCCGTGGGGTTATGTCAACCAGCAAACTCCCAAAGGTGCCGCCAAGATTGAGGGCCACATCAAGCAATTCCGATCACTGCTGAGAGGGTTCAAACGCATTCTCAATGATGTCTATTCTGATGACGTTAGAGTTGCCTTCGAACTCCCCAAGGCGTGTCGTTAGAGGAAATGGCCCGAACTAAGGAGTTTCTTGACTAAGTACAAGATGAACAAGTATGAATTCCATGGTTGCAAAATCGGCATCAAAGGGAGAAATGGAAAACCAATGAAAAAGCAATGGGTCGTTGCCAGTAATATGCCCACTATTTCCGTTGTTGAGTACTTCAAGTGTGATGGTTCTCACGAGCATGATGAAAGCCGTGGCACTCACTTGAAGGAAGCCGAGGGATACACGTACGTTTACACTGATGCCGTTCACAATGCATTTTCCGAACATGCCACCATGCAGCCGTTGCTTTCGAGTGATTGTGCTGCATCTTTTTCGCAATGAGCGGCGCAACGGCTATGGCGCATCCCGCGAGGGATTGCGATCCGGCATGGAGGAGGTGGATGGAGAATGTCGCTACCACATCGGTATGCACGAACGGCAAATACGACGCTAACCTCGCCGCCACGGTCAAGGGCCTCCTGGAGACGACCTCTGCACAGTCGCTTATCCATACATGGGTGCAGGACCAGCCGCACTTCCTGCAGTTGCTTACACCCCTGTTAACTATAAGCGAACCTTACTTGAAGGTTGTGCAGGCCCCACGTGTACCAGATCGCGACCTCCTTATCTATGTGACTGTCGCTGATTCAGGATTGTCCATGGTTTCGGGCAAGAAGAAAAAGCTTCGCAAGTATGACTTTGCGGAGCGTTTGGATGCTTCTCGCCCGGCGCGTGTCGGTGCATGGAGGTCAGAAATGCTTTGGGGCAAGGGCTTACAACAGCTGTGCAAGCGGTTGGCCGCCCTCATCGACGAGGTGCGTACCGACTACCCAGCAGCCACCATCATTCCGATGATTTACTGGAATGGCAACGAGCTCGTTGGGAAGGACGGCCTCGAGCCCACTGGTACATATCCATTTGATGCCCCCACCGGCGAGTTCGGTCAACTTCTTGCTGACTCCAAACGGCACCTGGCTTGGACCAGGGACTTCGCGGCCCGCAAGGGCTGCGCATGCCTTGGAGTCATGACCGGCGCGAAAAGCTATCTCTACGGCTTCTCTATGATTTGGGACCGTTTCATGACGGAAGTCCGGGATTACATCATCGGCGACCCCAATCATATGTTTGTGTACGTAGATGCTACACCCTTTGTTGAGACCATCGATTTGCTGGACAGGTATCATATGTGCTTCAGTGACGACAACATCACGAAGACCGTCCAGTTCATGCGCGGAACCCATCACATGTTGTATATGCTTTCTATCTTGCGCCCCGCAATGGGCAGCGTAGCCGAGCTGACACGTTCGCATGATTGCACCATGCGTCCGATCGATGTGCTCGAGGTGCGCCACCAAGAAGATTGCACAGTCAACGTTGAGGTTCTCGCGTACTGCAAGGAGACGCTAACGAAGTGCGGTGTTTCTTTGTCAGAGATGATCGGGCTCCCTTTCACCCGTGAAGAAGTGGAAGTCCGGCAGCCCCTCGATTTCGCCCCCGTCAACCCAGCCGAGTTTGCAACTACAGGTGAGCCTTCCGGTGCTGATGTTTCCGAAAGTGTTCGCCCGGCGCAAGCCGGTGCAAAGGCGGCTGCGGTGGCAAAAAGGGACGAGGAGGCGAGCAGGCCGGTACCACTCGACTCCTACGGGAGGAGCGTGACTGGGGGCCACTATGACTGCTGGGTGTATAGCATTCATGATGGCGTGAAGTATGTCGACTACGGTGAGGGCCCCAAGAGACTCGACATCATCAAGCAGCCCTCCTTTGATTACGACCCTTCCGTCAGGAGAATCAGTGACGAATACCACCGTTCCCTGACGTGCATCTCCAAGATCCTCCGTGGTCGTGGAACAGAAGGATGCGGGTATGTGATGGATGAGGACGGCTACATGGACCTCGAAGACCTGGGACTCGCGCTTCGCAAGGAGCTGCGACATCCCATTCCATGGAACATGCAGAATATCATGGACATCTTCAAGCTGGACAAGAAGCAGAGGTTCATCGGGCTTGGTTGCCCGGACGCAAGCCGGTGCGGAGACGTTCCATGTTCTCATTGGCTTTTCAAGCTGAAGGCCTCTCAAGGCCATGAGGACTGGCTCCAGATCGACGACTCCGGCATCGCGAAGGAGTGGTACGTGAACCCGGGGACCGACCTCGGGCGCTGGTCTGGCTGGAACGTTTGCAGCAGCCCTCCTACGGTGCTTTATCACCGCACTGATAAGCGTAACTTCGCTAACATCATGCGGAACGGACTGCTTCCAGGAGGAGGGGACCAGCACGAGACAGGCAGACCTCACGTTTTCTTCGCTGACGTCCCAAGCACGAACGAAAATTACATCTCAGGTGTACGTGCGAACAAACCCCTGGAGATACAGATCGACCTCAGGATGGCCATTCGCGCAGGGCTTTGCTTTTTCAAGACGGAGAGCGACGGCGTCCTTACGCGCGACAAGGTGCCCAACTACACGATTATTTCTGTATTGGACGCTACAAATGGCGATGTATGGTACACTCGCTCCGAGCAATCGGATGCAGGTGCACCAGCTGAGGCGACTGAGGATGAACCCCAGGGGATGAAGCGCGACCAAGCCGTGGTTGATGATCGCTCTACAGCGCTGGAACGTATTGCTACAACCCGCACAAATGTGGCTTCTCCTCGCGCCCCGCAAGGGGAAGCGAAGAGACAGAAGACTTTCAACCCAATGGAGAACGTTGAGCTGAATGTCGCCACGTGCCCGGTTTGCAACAACAGTGTCTTCGAGGGGCAGGTGCACTGCTCATCATGTGGGCAGTTGTCTCCCCTCAACCCACGCCTGTTGAAAGAGCAACAGAAGAATTACATTGTGCAGCGTTCCAATTTGCTGAAGAAGATGGGCCTCAGCACCCATGTCACAGCTCAGGTCCTGGCATCCGTGGGAACATTTGACCTCCGCGAGGAGGATCGTAGCAGCATCATTCGTGGCTTGAACTCCCCGGACAGTGCTGTTATTCAGGAGGCACGGAAGAAGCACAAGTCCGCCCTGAAGAACGGCTATCACTCTCTGCTTGATCGCTATGAACTCGACCTTCAATACAGGGTTCGTATGCTTGAGGTGGGCCGTCGGGAGGCGGACATGCTCCGCATGGAGTTGAGCGCAAATCTCGTCTTGGCTGCTCCAAAGCAGTCGCAAGCCCAGCGCACTCTGGGAGTTGGCCTTGGATCAACTTCGGAGTCGCGAATCGCAAGGCTCGCGTATATCAAGACAGAGTTGGAGTTCTTGCCCAACGAACTTCAAGATGCGCTTTCCTCTCGCTGGATCATTATGTTCCAAGGGATGCCTTACAGCCCAAGAGCTTTTATCAACGTGGTCTTTGAGCAAGACAAGCCTCGCAGCATTGGTTGTTGGAATGGCATCATCCATCTGCGAAGCAACACGTTGGACAACCTCCGCAACGAGATGGACTGGATTTTCAGCCAGAATGAGCGGTATGCACGCAACTCGATCGAATTTTCGAGGAACGAGAGCAGCAAACACCTTGCTCGCAATGCCGCTCGCTATGCCGAGACAAGAGCTCCCGCCGCCCGCGAGGGTGAGCATTGGAGCCAAGGCAGCTGGCAGAATTGGTCCGGTTGGAGCGGATGGGATAGCAGTAGCGGAAGCTATTCAACTTGGCAGTGGCGCTGAAAGCGCAACTGTCATGGTTTGCATGTAACAATGGTTCCCCTGACCTTCTCCCTCTGTTGTGTTACTGTTTGGCTGCTTTGTGAAAGGCCCCTTTAACACGCAGAGGGGGGTGAAGAATTTGATCGGTCAATATGGGGTTTTACATCCATTGCATCCGCAGTGTGGCTGTTCAAGCGTGAAAATGTGCGAGCAGCGCACTTGGACGGTTTGTTGTTTCCTTTTGGGCCCCAAACCGGTAACATTTGAATCTATAGTTTCCTGTTAGCTGGGTTTTGGAGGTCTGTTATTATGGCAACCCTTGCTTGGAACTATGAACAAATGCAGCATTGTGTTTGCAGTAGCTTTTGTAATTTAGAATTAGTAGTGTTCATGAATTGGACGTCCTGAGGGGCGGGAAGGTTAGCACTATTCGGAGGCTCTATTTAGAGGTGACAACAGCATATAAGGGGTGGCCAAATTTTGCAACCTTGTCTGAAGTGAAAGTAGCCTTGGTGAGGGGAGAGGAGCAGGTTAGCATAGTCGTCCAGAGGGAACTGCATGTTCACGACCACGTCTGGCACGGAAATGTTATGCCATGCCCGGGCACCGCTGAGCCACCCACAGCAGGCCAAGCAGGCGGCTGCTGAGGCTGAGCAGGACTGCTCAAAGTGACATTGCAAATATCGTGGTTTTTGTTTGCATGAAGTGGAGTTGCTTCATTTGCTCCTGACTGGGGCTGCGGAGATGTTTATGCCCATCGGCCAAGCTGGTTGAGTCTGAAAAGCCGCTCATCTCAGTCATCTACAAGTTTGGGGGGCGGGGCTTTGTCGAGGGAGCAACCTTGGCCACAACAGGTTTGTTTTGAAAGGCTGTGAGGCCTTGCTGTTATCAATTCCCAGGTTTCCAGGTCAGGTAGCAAGCTTCAACTGTAAGAGCTTGGATTTCACTCCTTCGCCATGAAGTGCCCTGCCAAAGTTCCGCTGCCACTGTCCACTAGGGCGCCTTGCGCGCTGTCTCTTGCACCTTGCTCCTCTGAAAGCCCGTTCTTGTTGCAGTGTGCCAGCTTCCATGGTGTCCAGCGTGCCTGCATGATGTTCACCGATTCTCATTTTTCTTCAACTTCATGCTGCCGATGTTGGGCCACTGGTTGCCTCCGTCTCATGATCTCGACTGTCGGTGGCGTATGTCAGACTTGTGTGGCCGCATTTTGAAGAGACACGAACCAAATGCCAACACAATAACACGCTGGATGAGTTTGTTCCTGCATGTTCCTGCCATCCGGTATGATGCTTTTCGTATCATGCTTCTGGGCGCAACGTTGTGAAGGGGTGTTGACAGCAAGGTTATGTAGCAGTGTAGCATTTTTCTCCGAAGCGGTGGCCGGTGTGTTTGGAGATGGCGTCGGGTTTTCGCCCAGGGCCAGCGCCATAGGGCCGCTTGCTTCCAGGAGCGGGGCCGTGCGCGGCGCCTGGAAGCGCGGCTGAAGAGCGCGGCGGAGAGTCTCGCAGGCGGGCACGTGTCTTCAGTCGACCCCGGAGCCAAACCCCAAAAAGGGATGCTTGGACCCCAGTTTGTTGGTAGGGTGTCCGATTCTGGGTTTAGTGGGGAATCATCACTTTTGGAGGGGAACGCCCCCATATCAATAAACTTGTGTTGACTAATAGTCAACATTAGATGATGTTTGTGGTGTGACTGGGTGCCTTGCGATGTTTGGTCGCTGGGGCTTCCTTGCGTAGCAACATGGGAGGGATAGCCACACTGTGCAGTTTCTTGTTGGTGGCGGGAGTGGCGGGGGCAGTTTTGGTGGTGTTGGTTCATGCCATTTCTATCCATTTGTAATTAAGAAGACAAAGAAATCTTGAGCATCATGAGGTTGAGCTAGGATTCGCAAGACAAAGGGTGGACTAGGCATGATTGCAGTGCCAGCGTGAGCAAGTAACGCGCCCGCGAATGTCCTGCGCGGCACCCCCCCTGGTGCATTCACATCCTTTGTTTCTGTGTGGATGGCTGACATGCTTGAAGTGCTGCTGCTTTACCTTTCGTCCAAGAAGCACCCCTTGGCTTGCAGTCATAGACCTCCCCATGACTTGGGCGGTCATTTTTCCTGCGGGGCATCTCCGACTTTGTGGCACTGCCGCACCTCCGCTTAGAGGTCATTTCATCACAGTGCAAGTCGGCCCACATGCAAGGCCAGCATGAGGTACTGGCTGACCTTTTTTTGAGATGGGGGAAGGTTGATGGCGTTGTGATTGTCATATTACAGTAGCTGCGCCCCCGATTTGGAACAGCAAAAGTTCGTTGGCTGCCCTCGCACGTTCCACATGATGTTTTTTTTTGTTCCCCTGATGCTTCCCAAGCCTTGTTGCATTTAGACTTGTTGTTAGCATGCCATCACGGCCTTGCAAAGCAGCCTCAAAATTTGAAATCACGTGCGCATGCTGTCCATCCGCCGGGTTGAAGGTGCAAAAGACACTGTGTTTAGCTTTATCTTTGTTGCATTTTGCTTGGATGGTTAGGACTTCAACTTTTTGCCAACTAATGGGTTTTCCATTAAACCACAAAAAGTTAAACTTTTAGCAGGGGAGCAGAAAGCAACCGAGTTGTGCCAGCGCCAGCGACACCGGACACGAGTGCCAGGACTCAGCGGGCGACTGCGAGACTGGCTGGAGGCAGGATGCATCACTGGGACGAGCAAGAATTAGCTTGAGCTGTTGAGGCTGCATTTGGGATGAAACCTTGCAAGTCCGCTGGCTCCTGCAACAGGGCATTTATGTGTGTGTGTGTGTTTTTTTTGTGTGTGTGTTGTTTTTGGTTTAAGTGTGAATGGTGCAGGTATGGCTCTTCTGAGGTGTTCATTGTTCGTCGTTTCATTCTTGCAAGCCATTGCCAGCCTTGAGCAAGACCACTGATTGCGCTGCTGCATTGGAAGGATGCGTGCGGGATAATGCACCTCAAGGATCGGTGTTGTTTGTCGGCTCAACATATGCGAGCTGGCAATTTGAAAAGCGTTCCTGAAATGGCGAGCTTTCCGTGGAAAAGAATTGCAGCTAGGCAACCCCCGCCTGTGGGAAAATCTGGGCAGCGCCCGCCTTGATCATGTCCGGATGTTTGTGCTCCTGTGGACCTGCAACCACTGCACGGTTTCTGAATCGCAGGGGAGATGGTGCCTATGTTAGATGGAAAAGGTCACACTTCACCAGGGCAATGCCACAATTAGACTCTGCTTAAGGCCAGCTAAAGCTCGGTACTTTTCTGTGCCAGCAAATCAGGCGCAGTGAATACGACTTTTCAGTCGGAATGCTTCATGCAGTTATAGTCGTAAAAAAATGAAACCTTTGAAAAGGCAATAGGCCCTTGCTTCTGAGTCAGGCATTCAAGGTTAGGCCCCTTGTTGGGCCCAGTTTGCTGCGCAGGGCGATGGCCAGGGATGCGTGGACAAGTCTGAGGAGGGAGCATCCAGTTCAAGCTGGTCCGAGCGCCGATGCCTATTGCAATGACGGTTCTGATTTGGCTATGTAAAAGCCAAGAAGTGCAAAGGATGTTGACACCAGGGCTTAACAAACGCCTGCACATGTTAAAACACAGAAAACGAGCTTACAACACAACTGTTCACATGTCTGACTCAAGTCCATTTGACGCGGGCAAAGCCGCATGCACTTCCCAGCACACTTCAAATGAAGTGCATGTTTTGTTCTTGGGCACCCTGGAGACAGAGCACCTCAATTCACTGCCCACAATCCGCTTGCAACAAGCATTTCAACGGAGGCGACCCCATGATGCAACTGATCCAGAAGCGTTCGCTCTGGCTCACGCTCCGCCTTTTGCACGAACCCCTTTCCGCTAGACCGAGCCCAATGCGAGTTTCCAAAAAGTAACTAGCTGTTTGCAATGACGCCCGCGCGCGCGCCGGCGTGCGGGCGTGCAGGCGTGCGTGCTTGCGTGGGTGGGTGGGTGGGTGCGTGTGTGTGTGTGTGTGTGTGCGGAGTGACAGAATGCCCTGTCACCACCCTTTCGGTTTCGCAGCAGGGGGCACAGGCCCATGGTGGTGACCTGTGCCAACGAAGCTAACCACCATGGGGGAAACGCGGACTGATCATCCGCGTGTACCTGCTTTTGTGATGTTTCTGAAGGTCCTTTTGGTCCCCTCCCTGAACCGCCGTTGCTTTGTGTGCCCCTGTTCAAGTAACTAGAGTGAAGCTGAGTGAGGTGCGAGTCGAAACTCACCATACTCGAGACTCATCAGTTGTACTCGAAACTCATCAGTTGTACTCGAAAGATTAGCACTCTCCATCTGGAGTTCAAGTGTGTACACCCCATTCGTGGGGAATCCTCGGGTGTACCCATTCTTATCATAGAACAGCGGAATTTCACATTTAATCAGGAACGAGGTTTCACTAAAGGGAAGAAAGCCGTCAGTTCATAGAGACGTCTCACCACAGCGGATAGCTGCCGATTTTCATTGCATTTCTTGACTATTGGTTGAACTCGTTGCTCGTATCACTGCGGTTGGTGATTGCTGACTTGTATTTGCTTCCCTTGTGCATGTCGAGTGACCATTGCAGTTGAGGGCTGCTATCTTGCATTTGCATTGATTTGAACGTTTTCGAGTCTGAGTATCTCAAGGAGGAAGTGCGCAAATTCAGAGTCGGTTGCGTCACCATGTCTCGACGGGATGATCGTGATAGATCCAGGACTCGACGCAGACGTGATCGGAGTCCGTCCCCTCAAGCTCACAAATCACGCCGACGTGAGCACAATGACAACCAGGTCGCGGAGAACATGGATTGGAACAACTTGGTCTCATGGCAGCACAACTCCGGCTACAACGCTGCTAACAACTTCCCGATGATGCCCACCAATTTTCAATCGACTCACAACCCCACACAACAATTCCAATACCCGGCGATCAACTACATGATGCCGATCCCTCCTGATCCCACGCCATCCAAGTTCATGCCACCAGTGATGCCACCACCGGTCACTACCTCCCAACCTACACCATCACCTGCACCTCCTGCGGCTCTACCGGTTCGTCCTCAGAAAGCCTGGCTTACTCCATCGCCTGACTGGACACCAGGAGACGGCATGTTTGATGTCAACCAGCTCTACAACTTCAGCCTGCCCATGACTGTTGCCAACACTCCGCATGGCAACCTTCGCGACATGTCCGGCATGGATATTAGAGACGTTCGCCTGGTTCAGGTTATCCACGGGGGCCTCACCAACTGGCTCCTCCGGCCGTTTGCACACGGCCGCTTCGTGACGTGGGAAGGCTTTCGCACCCGCACCGAGGCCTTGCTTTGGAGTACCTGCTCCAAATTATTGCGAAGATCGCAGTCACTTAACCTGCTCACCCTGGAGAAGGACCTTGCCAACACGATGGGTCTCAACATTGATGACTTCAATCAGCGCATCAAGGTCCACGACCATTTGGCCAACTTGGTACTTCAATTTCTTCAACAACATCACACCTCTCTCGCACCCGCTGACCAGACCGATGACATGGTCAAAAAGTTCAATGATTTGAATCGTGCTCACGAACTTCTCCAGGCTCAGTATTCCGCATCACTTCGTGCATCAACTTCTCCCACGATGACAAACCAGAAGGATGATGCAGAGTTGGTTACACCACCACCGGTCAACCACACACCATCCTCCTCACCTGCCAGCTCCCTTCCCACAGCCAGCGCGGCCGCCCTGGATGGCAAGTCGTTTGATAGCGTGGTGCAACCTCGGATCATGCAGTCTCTTCACGGAATGTCGTCACCGCCGTCCAAACCGGCGGCGTCACAATTGCTCACCATGCACAGCACGCCGGAGGAAGTTGTCAAGTACTACACATGGACCAGCGACCAACCACGCCTTTTCCTCAAGCAAGCACCCACAACAACCACTTTGGCATCGCTGGTTAAGTGGGCCAATCACCCGTCCCGGCTCAACGGCAACAAGTCATTAGATTCTATGGCGACGCAGCTTCTTCAGGCCAGGCAACGCATGCCGAAGGGCGATGCGCCCACACTCGGTGCAATGGCAGCATCATGGGGTCTTGAACCCGGGTACCTTACCAAACTCACTGAGAAGGCATTGAGTCACCTCATCGTGACCGCTCGCCTGCTCTGTGGATGAGAAGGCATCATGACGACCTTCGTTCTCATATGAGCCCGGCGCGGCAACAATGTCACGGATGAGTCCAGGTGAAAACTCGTCCGTCAAGTGTTTGCGTTGCACATGATTGATCTTGTACTTGCTTGTTCTTGCATTGCCTCTTGTGTGATTGTCTGTGATGCTTGTATTCATGTCGCCGCCTTGTGGTAGATTTCGTTGGTTGCATCTCACCATGTTGGATGAACTTCGCCGCTGCGGAATCTATGATGATGTTGCACAATGGCAGTCGCTGGACGACCTTCTGCACTCGTTGACCATATTCTCTACGTGCTGGCATTACTGTTTCCCTGGACTACCACCACCGTCGATTCCAATCGAGGAGTACGAATCCATCACACAATTACCGTGGCTGGGTCTCATCCTCGAGGTCTTAGTTGTGGTCCGGATAGCCCTTCAGATTCCGAATCGTGCTATGTCCAGCTCTAATCACACCGTGGCTAACAGATATGAGCTTCACAGATGTCGGTGCGCAGCCTATTTATTGATCAGTTTCTTACAACGTCTTATCTCACAAGATCACGGCTACTTCCCGCCGTTCTTTGAAGTCCTCCACTTCTACAAGACTTCTCTCTTGTGTGAAATCATGCACTCGACTTTCGCTGACACGCGACATCTACGCTCATTGCGGGCGCGATTTCCTGACCTCTATGACTTCATATATGATCCAGGTCATCACCAGCAACCGTGCGTCTACATTCGCCTTTCCCCATGGCACACACCATACTATGTTGGGGCGACTGATCAGGATGTGCTACGTCGTGAACACTCACGCAGTCGCAAATTTCTACAACTGCTTCGTGGACGACATGCCTTCTTTGAACCGGCGCTTCACTACTGGAAACGATCCAACACCTACTGGCTCTACTGTGCTGTACCAGTGGAAATCAAACTTCCAGTTTCCTCGGTGTGGGTCCAAGAAAGCAAATGGCAATACCTGCTACGTCCGCATTTAAATGCGCCCTGGGTACACAGAATCTTGCGCAAGGTGGGCTTCCGGGAACACCTTGTAGACTTTCGACGCCACTCGTTGTCATCCCCCACTTCCCTCGGCTTGCACAAGCGCTTTCGACGACGACTGCATCCGGATCTCCAACGACAACTACGACCTGACGCACTGGATGACATTCAAGCCCACTACTCGATTCTCTATCAGCTGGGATCGAATACAGGAGCGTCGTTCCAAGTCATGCGTGACCTACTGTCGGCCGCCTTCCCTCCCACTCAGCTGTACTACTTATTGCGGCTCGCAGTTTTCGTCAACGAACCCTTCCGCTCCAAGGCCCAGAAGCTCCTCGCCCAGGTACTGCGCAAACGACGGCTACAACCACCCTCCACTTTGACACAGCTACTTTTGCCGCCGCTACATGTCCAAAATTGGAAAGCTCTACTTGGCACATGGTTACAAAACTGGATTGCTTCCCATCGGGATCTGTTCCCTTCTCTTTTCATTCCAAAGATCCGGGTTGTGGAAACCCGCAGCGCCACATTGGGCGACAAGATGTACAACTATCGCACATGGCAGCGCAAATGGACGCCCGACACATCCTTTCCGTGTCGCTGTTTGGACATCGATGACCACCATCTACTCCGTGCACATGGTCACGCAGTAATGGTGGATGACTTTTCTCGCATCAATGCGGACATTAACGTGGAAATCATGGCCGCCTCAATGAAGGATCAGTTTTTCGGTGATGTCGACCTATTGCATCAACGTTTCACCACGCAACTTTGCAAACTTGCTCGACGCTGGCATGTACATGGTTCCGATCTACTTCCAGATCTACAACCGGTCGTGGCTCAGTTAATGGAGACCCATCGGATCAACCTCCAAGATCAGGCTTATTGGTCATCGGCATCGTTGCAACGCACAGTGGCCTCTTTGTCTTCATGGGTAGTTATCCCAGCGGATCATTTTCCCTCCCGTGCACATGTAGTGTGCCCGTCCCTGTTTGCCATATTGATGCGGAAGACATTCTGCGCGGGGGATGTTTTCTCACTTTGCCGCGAATCCGCAGCATCGTTTCGCTCTGAAGTGGTAACCACGGTACCTTCTCTCCTACGTCAACGATACGCATGGGGACTTCGACTTCAAGCACCGTTGCCCACAGCGCGCATCCTTCCAAAGCCGACCAAGGACTGGCAGAAAGCTCGACCCATCATTTCATTCTTTCGCACATGGGCGGCTCCCTTCCTCACGGTCTTCGGTGCGCTCATATTTGAACTCACCAAGGCGGCTTTCCCCGACATTGCAGGTCAACTCCCGGTACAAGAACTTATCCAG